CAGGGGCTGCACCTAGGGATTGGGCCTGCCCTCTGCCACCCAGGAGCAGGCCTAAGCCAGCAGGTCGTTATCTCCTGAGAGGTCCCAGACTGCGAGAGGGCACAGGCCGGTCTGAGGGACCTCCCCTCCCCCCTGAGTGCACAAATTTTTGTGCACCGGGCCTCTAGTATGTATATATTAATAAAAAAATAAAAAGTAAAAAAATGAATGTGTGTCCTGAATTTCATTTTATAATAGTAAAGGAGGCATTAGACAATATATTTTTAAAGAGGAGTTGTTTACGTTGGGGTGATGGGTATATTGGGGTTCAGCTAGTTCTTGAGGAGTCTTTATACAACTCACAAAGCAACACGATGCCCCCAACTCAGCGAAATTGTGAAACATGATGCGGGTGGTGGTCGGGGGTGAGTTCAGAGGAAATCCTGCATCACAGGCTGTGTACTAGCCCGGGACCTGGGGGCGAGGGGTGCACAGTAGGGTCTGGAGGAGTCTACTTTAATAGGCAGATGCAAATGCCATGGGTTTGCCTGCTCAGGGTTTGGGCGCCTCTCAGGGAGTAGGACTCCTCTGGATCCCCTCCCCCGAGGGAGGTTTAATTGTCTCTTTGCAACCCTGCCAGTCCCATAGCTTTGTTCAGGAAACCCAACCCCTGAGCCAAAGTCAACGCCAGCTGAGCCAAGCCCAGCCCAGCCCAGCCCAAGTCCGAAGGTTCCCACGTTCCCAAGAAGGGGGCCTGGGAAGAAAAGGTGGAAGGATGTCCCCACTCAAGGACGAGTCCTCGGGAGGGCTGGGCAGCGGGGAGGCGTACCTTCCAGTCCTGCAGCAGCCAATGGCAGCTGCCGCTGAGGCCTGAGGACACCTGAGGACACCCAAGGGCTGGCCCAGGAGCACAGCCTGCCTTCCTCTGGGATCCTAGAACTTCTGCCCCACCCTGTCCTGAGGCTTCTGTCTTCAGGCTTCTGTCCTCACTGGTTCCCAGTCCCTCCTTCATTCCTGTGCCAACCTCTCTGGCAGCCACGTAGAGCCAGTCAAATCCTGTTAGCTGAGCAAGACCATTAATACTATCAGTCAACACTCCTGGAGCCTTTGTAAGTGGGAGGAGCTGTTCCCCCCCTTTTCAATGAATGACTTAGTTAGTCCTCCCATTTTAGAGATGAGTTACTGAGGCACAGAGCAATGAGGGAACTAGCCCAGGGGCGCGTGGGGTAGCCTGTTCACATGCTCCCTTCTCCAGCAAACCTCTTGCTCTCCTGCTAAATGGCTCCATGCTGATTCTCTGGGGAATTTTCTCTGTGGGGCTCTGTTTAGCCTCCCTGACAGCGCTGGGCTCCGCCTCCACCAGAGGCAGCACAGAGGAGGGAGACCAGGCCCTGTCCTTAGGGAGGTCACACTTGGCCTCAAGGACTCTCAGTGCCACCAAGCTGGGCGGTGAACTGTGTTGGGCACAGGCTAGTGGGCGGGACAGGGGAGCCAGGGAAGAGTGGCCGGCAGGGGGATGTGGTCCGGGGGGTGGTGGTGGGGTTCCTATAGGAGGCAGCAGGGTCTGGAAGCAGAGAAGAGGTGACAGCCAAGAAAATGCCGGGCATCTGGAGGCCCGTTGTCCTGGGCTGGGCCTGGACATATTTTCCATGTGTCCATCCAGGGAGACCCCTCAGGTCCCACCACGTGTCACCAGGCCCACAGAGACACAGGGCCCAGGCTGGCTGTATGTGCCTGCTGGGGGCTGCCACCTAACAGGAAAGAAAGATCAACCAGGAGCCTGGTGTGGGGGATGATGAGGCAGATGGGGACCTCTGCCAGGTCATTTCATAGATCTGTGTGCACAGAGAGAGACACACTCACTGACAAGCACTCCCAGACACACAGAACCACAGACACACATGCAAACATACGTACCTGTATGCTTTCTTGGACCCGGAAAGACCAGACACAAGTAAACACAGGTACAGAGACATGACTTGGACACATATGCATAGACATGACAGCATATCACAGACATTCACACTGACACACACACACACACACACACACACACACACACCAGGCAGATATATCTGGGCACATCCAGGCTACACAGACGTACGCTCTGACACACAAAGACACTCCGAGTCAGACATGGAGCTCAGACCCCAGAGGCACAGAAACAGAACCAGGCAGACACAGGCCGGGAGCACACACCTGACCCTGCCACTGCCTGAACATGCGTAGAGCCCCACACGAGGTCACGGGCAGGCTCACTGCCCGCTGACCCATACCTGCCCTCCTCTGGCTTCCTAGCTGGCTGCCTGGTGACAGGGTGTTGGTTGCACCTGACAGGCACCCTGTGCCAGCAATGACCTCATCAGGATCACAAGGGTGGCCGGCCATTGGGGCCTGGGAGGGATGCAGGGGGGTCTAGAGTCTGGGGTCCCGGCCTCTCTGAGCTGTCCACGATCCAGATCGTACTGCTGGGGCCTGTTGGTGGCCTGGCCCCGCCTCCATGTCCCGGTGGGAGCATTGGCAGTAGGCAGTACCCTTGGACCCAGGCTTAGTCTCTGGGGCTGAGGAGACCAGAGGCCGCCCCTCCTTGAGCGGGGGGGAGTGAAAGCTATCGGCAAGGCTACTCACACTCACTGATGGTGCAGGAGGCAGAGAGCCTGGGAACCAGGTCCAGGGGGGAAGGACCCGGAGGGGTCACATAATTGTCAGCCTCAGAGGTGGCAGGGGACTGGGGAGCCAGGAAGACATCACCCCGTTTCCTGGGGAAGAGGGGTAGGGACCTCCGAATGCAGAGCCGACTGCCCTCACTCTCTGAACCCCAATTTGTATACTCTCCTTAGGTAGCAGCTGGGAGCTCCCCAGACTTGGGGTGAGTGATGGGAACATGGAGGTCTGTTGGCACCTTCCTTCTTTGTCTGGCTCCCCAGCTTTTCCCAGCATCCTCTCCTCACCACCCAGCAGCCCCATGGTGCTGCTCCCTCCAACACTATACAATGAGTGTGATATGGATCTGGGCTTGCACTGTGAGAACTGGGGCTCCTTGGGGGTCTGCAGCGCCCCTCTTCCTATGGGGGGGGGCGGGGCAGCGGACTCACCTGCTGTTTCATTTTCCAGCTCGGCCTCCTCCAGGCACTGCCTGTGCTCCGCCTTAATCATTTGCAGGTAGTCACACATGTCCCTCACATTGGCCCAGTCCCAGCCGCTCTGCGGGACAGAGACAGGGAGAAGACAAGTCAGCCTCATCCATGGCTCATATCCACAAACTCCCAGGAACATGGGTCAAGCAGGTAAGGCCTGGTTACTGGACTGACCCGAGTTCCAGTCTGAACCCCAGTCCCAACCTCGACTCAATCCCGATCCTCACCCCAGACCGAGGCCTGACCCTGACCTGGATCTTACCCAAAATGTGCTCATTGTCCCCAAAACTTGGTCTGCCTTGAGGACCCTGTCATGGCTTCCTGGTGGCTCCCCAACCGTGCTGTGGTTATAACAGCTGTGTCTCTTTGAGGGTAGCACGGCCCACACAGGTGAGAGGGCCTCTCCTTGGAGCCCAGAGCTGGCCCACGGACTCTGACATTGTCCAGCTTGGCGGGCGCGCTGGGAGTCCTCTGTCCCGGTCACAGTCCCGTAGCACAGCCACGGGGCCCGGCTAGTGCTACCTCATTACAGGGGCTGGACCCTGGCCTCCTGTTCCTGGAGCCAGACCTGGGAGGAATCCAGGAGCCTGGCTGCATCTTCCCGCCTGTCCCCGTCTGTGCTCAGTCCCCAGGTCACCAGCTAGGAAGGGCACACTAGCCCTCATTGCCAGACCTCAACTGCCTCCCTCTTAGCTTTTGAATAATTCAAGCTAAGTCAGACCTACTGCTGGGGGTGGGGGTGGGGAGGTTTAAGGAAGGAAGGGAAGCCCTCCCAGGATGGCTTGCCACCCACCAGGCTTCCTCTGCCTCTGGAAGGCGGGGAGAAGCTTGAGCTTTCTCATCCCCTCCCCTCCGCTCCCCTGCACCCTACCTAGGGATCATGGGTGGGGCCAGACCTGTGTGCCAGTGGAACATTGGCACTGGAGCCAACATGTAAGTAGGGGTGATGGATGCCTAGGAACAGCCAGAAAATTCAGGTCTGGGGAGCCGTTGGGTGGGGAAGGGCGGATGAAGGCCTCCAGGGAGGAACTGCTGGGCTGGTGGCAGCTTCTGCCTGTCTCTTTGGCTTTAGGGAAGTGGCTGCTGCCCCTGGGAACCCCGTATCAGCTTCCTCATTTCTGCTTAGGGAGGAGAATGTCACAGTCCCAAATAGGGCATCGGGGGAGCATCCACCAAGACTGTGCCAGAATCAGATTCTCAGTGTCTTCCAGCCTGTCCTCCCCGCTAGGGGACAAGGCCTCAGTTTCCCTGTAGGCTAAATGGGCCTTAACTACCTCCCCTGATGACTGAAAGGATTCCTTTTAAAAATATATATTTTATTGATTTTTTTACAGCGAGGAAGGGAAGAGGAATAGAGAGTTAGAAACATCAATCAGCTGCCTCCTGCACACCCCCTATTGGGGATTGAGCCTGCAACCAAGGTACATGCCCTTGACCGGAATCGAACCTGGGACCCTTCAGTCTGCAGGCTGATGCTCTATCCACTGAGCCAAACCGGTTAGGGCTGAAAGGGTTCTTGTAGTGGGAAGACACAGATTGGAGGAGTTCCACCTTATTTCCTTTCTTTAAGAGGGTCCCCATCTAGCCAGTAGGCACCAAAGGTGTGACTTTGACCACTGTTCTAAGTGAGTTGACCTCCATGAGGGATAAGTGCCCTGGGTGCCAGTGAGCTACCTCTCCACTGCTGTAGGGAGGGGGGCGGTTCAAGCTGAAGCCTGACCACTCAGTGCCCAAGGGCCACACGGCTGAGTCCCTTCCCCCTCAATGGCTCTCATCCCCTGTTGAAGGCTTGATGGAGCCTCATTGTCACAGAGGACCCCGACTTTCCCAGTATAGCACCACAGCTGACCACGCCCAGGTCCGAGGGAAAGCCTCCTTGTCCAGGATGTCTTTCAGACTCCCCCGCTTCCAGATCTCACTCGCCCACGTGCCGCAGGCCTGGAACCACAGTGACCTTGGCTTCCATCTTGTACCATTCACTTTACCAGACAATTGGAGTAAAGACATTTGCTGGTCAGTCATTTAAAACTTGGCACATTGAAAGTAACACGGATCTGTTATGGAGAGGATGACGTTATTTGTATAACTTTCAAAGAAAGGATATGAGACTTCCAAGGAAATGCACTGTGATCCCTCTTTGGCGTCACGCACTTCCTCTCTTGCCCATAGGGTTGTTCAGATGAAACACTCCAGATGCTCTGTCCTAAGGGATCTGTGGCTGGCTCAGGCATGGGAAGAGAAGTGGCCAGATGGATCCCAGAGGTGGCCTCTGGAAGAGGAACCTGGGGACTGGCCACTGCAGGTTGTGTCCCGCCATCTTGCTTGCTTGGAGTTCCCAAAGTCCCTTCTCGGTCCCATTGTCCACCAGCAACAGGGTTCAGTCTGCCTTCTGGCCCCTTCCCAGCCTTGCCTGCCTCTCCTTCCCATTCCTACCTCTTATTTCCCACAACACAGATGCTAGTGGATCTATTGTTGCTGCCTTCTACCATCATTTACCCTCCTCTGGTGCCGTGTCCTCATCTCCATCTGGGAAACCACTTTCTTTCCCTCTCCTAGTTCATGGGTTCTGATGATCCCTCTTCTAGGGAATCAACATGGGACCAGACTTGAGCCAGTCAGAGTATTCCTGGCCACAGTGTCTGGCACATGGCCCAAGTCAAAGCCAGGACGCTCATTCCTGGGACTCTGGATTAACCAATTAGGCAAGTGGATTTGTTCTTTTCCACTGGACTGGAAACCTCAAGGGATGAAAGGGCTGGAGCTTCTGCTACCATCTTGTTGCCAAGTGGAACACGATGTGGTAGGGCTTTGAGTGCCACACAGCTAAATGCAGAAAAGAGAGATGGAGAAACACTGGGCCCTCCTGACATGGTCGGCTTCCCTGGGCAGCCATGCCTGAACCCAGCCCTGCTTCCGGCAGCATGAATCAATACCTTTTTTACAACTTGAGCCAGTTGAGTTTCTGTCTCGGTAACCTAAAGAGTCCAGACTTGAGCTCTGAGGACAGGACAAGGGATGCCCTCACTTGCTGGGCCCTCTTAAGCTAGGGTGTGGCTGTCTGACGAATAACATTTCTTTTCTAATCACTGAGGGCTTCAGAGGATTCTTGGTGACTTCTGCCCGCCATCGTAGGGTGGAACGATGTTGGGTCAACTTCTCCAGCCAGTTCTGCTGCCCCTAGCAGCACAGTCACAGAGCACTTCTGCACAGGGAAGTAGGAGCCCCCAGAGTAACGCTGATCCTGGGGTGTCTCTGAATAAAGTTGGGGGGGGTGTTTGGAAATGAGCTCTAACTTCACCACAATGTAGTTGAGTGCTGGGCCCCATCTGGAGAAGGGTAGAGGAAACAGGGACCCAAAGAGGGCTGAGGTCACACAGCAAATGGACCTTCCTAGAAGGGACCAAAATTTCTGACCATTCGTCTGGACTACGTCAATCTTTCTCCACCACCTCGCCTTGGGCCATCTGGTCAACCATTGCCCTTTGGGCCAAGGCAGCTCCCTCTAGCCTTTATCACTGAGGAACGCAGGCAGACTTTGGACTTCCTCTTCCACTTATTTCCCTATTCTAAACATCCTCATTATCCCTCTGGAATCCAGACACACTAAATTGGAAAATTCCCAGCTGGAAACAGGCAAGCCTGCTGATCCATGGAAGGGTTCCAGGGGAGGATAAGCTGGGGTGTGGACTTCATAGAGAATGGGTAGTAGAGGTGGGAGGGTCTTTGAGGATGTGTAGGAGGTGGATAATTAGAGGTGGAATAAGAACATTCCAGAAAGTAGGAGCTGTGTGTACAGAAGCATGGAGGCATGAAAATGCTTAAAACATTCAAGGTTGCAAGAGGCCTTGTGTGGCTGCAGCAAGGAGCCGTGGGATATCAGGAGACAAGTTGGGAGATATTGACAGGGGCCAGGCTTCATCCATTCCTGATTGGACTGGTACAGTAGTTTTCAGCCCCAATACCGACAACCTGAGGGATCTTAATAAAATGTGTATCCCCAGCCTCATTCTCCTGCTTCAAATCTCTGATGGTTCCTATGGCCTAGGAGTCAAAGCCCACACTTCAAAATGCGTTCAAGGCCTCTATCTCTCAACTTGTCTCCTGATGCTCCATGTGGAGAAGAGAAAGCAGGGCTTTCCCAAGCCCTCACCCATTACCGTGCTGAGGTCCAAGTGAGCTTGGAGTCAGCCTGGCCTTGCAGTTGGGTTGAGGCTAGAGAGTTTCAGGACATACGGGGTCTCCAACACCTTCTCTATGACAGGAGAACCTGAGCCCAGAAGAAGGGACCTAACAAGCGCGAGGGAGTCCATAGCATCTCTTCAGTCCAGGTCCTCTGTGTCCCCTGCCATGGAGTTGGCTGGACGTGGGAGGTGACTGACAGAAAGTTGGCAGGAGAATCCCAACTCTCCGGTTGGGGCCAAGGATTAACCAAAGTTTATTAATTCCATCGGCTCAGCTGAGGGCCCTCCTCTCTATCTCCACTGCGAGGGGCTTGGGAGAAACCCTGTCTTCTCTCCACATGGTGTTCCTGAGATTTGGGGGAAAGGCTATGGAGGGTGAAGGTGCTGGGAGTTGAAGCTGTTAAACACTAGGGGCTCAGAAAGACAGGGAGGGCCCAGCTCACATGCTGTAGGCCAACCCCAGCTCCCTCAAGGCGGGGCTGAGACCATAGGCTTGAGTCAGAACCCCCAGCCTCATCCAGGCAGGAGGAGTCAAGGGAGACAGAAGCAGTACGCTGGGGGAGCACTTCTGAGGAGCAGCTGGTCCCAGAGGCGACCTCAATGCAGCAGGTTGGATTAGGTGAGACCGGAGAAAACTTCCTGCATGCAAATCATCGAGCACTGGGAGCCACCGTGAATAAGGGGGCTTTTTCCTGCCGGGATGGGGTGGTTGGCGGAGTCTGGTGATTGGGGAGTAGAGGGTAGGGGGCTCAGGAGTGGTCCCACTTACCATTCCCCCAATGCCATCTTAGATCCCATATTTCTTTAAGCCCAGCCCAATTGAAATAATGGGGCAACAAAGAGTCACGGGGAAAGCTGAGGATCCAGA